GAGTAGAGGTGAAAGAATAATGAAGTGTAACTGTATCCTAATTTCTTTGTTTTTCTACTCTCTTATGGAGTAGAATAGCAACTGTGTGTTTTCGATTTGAGGACTGAGAGTAGATCTGATCAGAATAGAAGGGAAAATGAACAATGCTGACAAATTCTAAGATACCTTTCACTCTTCATTTTCCTTTCCACTAAGCTCCTCTTTTCTTCACAAACATCCCTCTCGCTTCCATATCCCAGCGCCTCAACTCAAGACATTCTACAACTGTAGAGACACTTTTGGTCAAAAAGGTGCTTTTTATAAGTATTATTTCATTTAATCTTCTCAGGGACTTCCTGACATTGTGGTGTTATCATTACCATTGTGTCATGAAGAATCGGAAGCTGAGACCCCTTAAAGGTTTGCACAAGTTCATAAAGTCAATCCATGAAAAACCTTCTCTCCACTATCCTTTTTTCCTCTGTCTTTCAGACTTCTCCCTCCGCCCCATACAAATATTTTTCATAACCGAAAACCTTTACAACCATATGAGAACTCTTATTCTCTCGTCCTCTACGTGTTGCCCACTTTCTCCTCTTTGCTTCCCACTGCTCAAGTTCTACTGTCTCCTTCCAAAGTGCACAATTTAATATGTGAGCCGTGGAGGTGGAAAGGAAAAGAAAGGAAAAACTGGACAAAGGTAGCACCGGCCCTAGGAAAACCAGGGTGCCTAGGGAGTCGGCGTGCCCGCTGCGGCACAACGCCACTCCCAAAACCCTAGATCCCCGTCTCGGAATCCCGATTAGGGGCCGCTGTTCCCACTGACACTTACGTGACATTGGCAGGGCCCGAACAAACCGGAGGTGAACGGCGGCCGCCATCTTCTCCCACAATCCCCCACGGCCGGCGCTCCGGCCGACTACGGCTACCAAACTGGGTCAAAAGTTGTCTTCCACGCCTGTTTGCGCAGGCGCTAACCCGGAAAGGAAGGGACGGGTTAGAGGTTGGGGTAGTGTTGGTAACGAAGGGAGCTGGAAGAAGAGAGGAGGAGACGGGAAAGGAAAGTGAAGGAGAGGAGGAAGAAAGGAAATGGAAAGAATTTTGGGATAGGAATCTCAGATCTGGAATGGGTCGTAAAGATAATCTCATATTGCCGAGAGATGTGAAATCCGAGTTAACCAGGGACGACTCAGACATAGAAAATGGCAGAGCCCGAGGTAGAGGAGCTCAGCTTTCCTCTCATTCACTATTCCCTGAAAACGTCAATCAGAGCAGCCTGGTGAGGCTGGGGGAAGGAGGAGGCGTGGCCCCTGCGTTCTGGGAGTCCAGGGCCCAGGGGAGAGAAAGGGTGTAAAAGAAGGGTGGGGCGGGGACAAGGAGGGGAAAAGAGAGGAAGAGAAATAGAAATGAGGATGTGCCCCAAATAAATAAATGCACGTCGAGCCTGCCAGGCACGTTCTCTCCTCCGGACCTTTGCGCTTGCTGTTGGCTTTTCCTGGAATGCCACTCAGATGTCACGTCTCTGCTCATAGGAAGGATACCTCTTCAGAGAAGATTCTCTGACCCTCCTATCCAAGGTGGCGATTATTCCACCTATCCTGCTTTATGTTTTTAATTTACTTATGAAAGCACTCATCATCTGACCTATGAATCCAGGCGTTCTTAACCAGGAGTGCAATTCATGAGCGGGCTTCAGGAAATCTGTGAACCTCTGTAAAATTTAGTGGCCTTAGAACATTTATCTAGGGAGAAACTGCAGATGGCTCTCTCTAGAGCAATGGTTTGTAATTTTTTTTTTTTTTACACTGTAGACCCCTTTGAGAATCTGAGTTGTTCTACAAAGAGCCATCTGGAGCCTAAGGAAATTCCAGAAAGCTTAGTCTAAGCACTTGAATTTTAAAATACCTTATTCTGGGCAACCTTTCAAGATCCTAGAATAAGAGACAGCAATCAGTGATCCTGCTAAACATACTTTGGGCTTATCAGAAAACCACCTAGTCTGGGCGGTCTTTCTAGACTTATAATTCTTTCAGTGCTTTGTTCTTTCAGGAAGAAAGAGTATGTGTTGCTGGGATAAACAAAAGGGCTGTAGTGAGTAGGGGTTGCTTGTTACTAGGTTTGTAAGATTGGCTGTTTCCACTCTATCCTACCTTCACTGTTTACTGAAGTGTCACCTACCAAATTGAATTGATGAGGAAAGAAACCCTTGAATTTTATCAGAGAAGCTTAGTAATCCTGCACTGTCATATTTCTTTGCCTCGTCCTATGTTCACTTAGAACTTACGATTTGCTAATACTCATTGTTTCTGGGGTCATCCTGATTCTGATAAACTGACAGACCTCCACTATCATCAGCTACCTCCTAACCCCTGTATGGCAGTGCCAATTATATCATTCAACACCTCTAAGTTGAATGCTGCCTCATGTTCTCAATTCTACTTTCAAGGTGTCATTGAAAAAGTGCTGATTTTAACATTCAGAATATTGGCTCCCAGCCCCAGTTCCACAGTTATTAGTTGCGAACTGGGCAAGCTTCTACACCTAACAGGGAAAATAATACCTGCCCTGTCACCTCAACAGGTTATTGTGAGGATCAGGTGACATAATGGATATGAGGATGCTTTGTCTACTGCAAAGTGCTATATGCGGGTACGTGCAGTCCTATTCAAATACCCACTCAAGTATCAAAATCATAGAATGTTAGAGCTGGAAGGGATCCTAACAGATCAACAAGTCTAATTTCTTTGTTTTAAAAATGAAGAAACTGAGACCTAATATAAAAGATCATCAA